TGAAAGTTCGGAGATTTGTGATGTCAGGTCTAGCAGAAATTCATTTAAATTAGCGCACTGTTCGGATCAAGCAGCAGGCTCTATTACACTGCTTTTTGGTACACTGCCTGGAAAGCTGGAGTACTGAGCAACTAGTGACTCAGAACCGCCGCAGACAGACACTATATTGAGGAGACTGCTCGCTTAAAGTTTGCAGGGATTCTGCTGAGATTCCAGAAACTCTCAGGATTTACTACCAGCCTCAGAGAGCCAGAATTCCCAGGTCTTAACTCCTTGCTCTAGCACTGACACCACGTAGCCCTGGAACAAGTCACTTCAAGCCCCTGGCTTTGTATCTGAGCTTCTCAACCACTAAAAATGGAAAAGATTTGATCATCTGCAGCTCATAAAGCACAGAGAGGAACAGCACAGTGCAACGCTGTGCCTTCACCAGTATCCTCCAAGATATGGCACCTTTGTATTTCATCATATTACTCTGATCTTTCAGCAATGCAGAGGGCAGACGTGGCCATGAGGTAACACAAGAACTGCTAGCTCTCGTGCTGCTCTTTTCTTTCAAACAGCAGGGAAACCGAGGCACCAAGATTTGGCTGAGGTCAACCCCCCCAGCCTGTGGCAGAGCCACAGCTGAAGCTGTATTTACTGACTTGCAGTCTCACAGACGAAGCACCAAATGATGGTCTTCCTCAATGCACCTTGAAGGCATTTCATTGAAAACGACAAAACATCAACCCTGAGCCTGCATTAGGTGCATCAGGTATTACAGCTCCCTTCTCACCCTTGGCGCCTTCCGCTGTTTATATTCTCCTCTCCTGTCTTCAACTTTTACTCACCCTCAGCCGCTCCCAGCCGAGCAGGAGCTGCTGTTGGAAGCAGCCCAGGCCCACAGCCCCCCCGAAAGGATCAGAAAGCGCAGCCCCCCCAAGGAACACACACGCCGGGCTGGCCATTGCCCCGCACCGAAGTAGAACCGGCAGCGACAGGAGCCGGCCCGGGCTGGAAACCTCCACCGCAGCTCCCGCACACCGGCGCCACCGACCCGGGGGGCTGAGGGAGCCTGACCCGGGCAGGGCCTGCTCTTGCTCC